ACAGAGCTCCACCTGCCTGTGCCTCCAGGGTGCTGGGATTAAAGAGGTGCCATTCATACCCCACTGACAACAATCTCTTTTTCCTCAGATGTCTTCCCCAAATACACCCAGTTAAATTTTTAGTTTATTTTTGTTATGTACATAAATTTTGTATATATATGCATATATATGTATATAATTTAAATTTAAGTGGGGTTGGAGAGATGGCTCAGTAGTTAAGAGCACTGACTGCTCTTCCAGAGGACTTGGGTTCAATTCCAAGTACTCACATGGCAGCTCACAACTTTCTGTAACCCCCGTTCAAGGGGACCCAACACCCATGGCAAAAAACACCAATGCACATTAAAAAAAAGACTATTTAAAAAAAAACCTTTTTGTGTAATCTCTCTCTCTCTCTCTCGCCCCCCCACACGTGTGTGTGTGTGTGTGTGTGTGTGTGTGTGTGTGTGTGTGTGTGTGTGTGTGTGCACATTCAAATTTTTGAGACAAGTTCTCATTGTGTATCCCTACTGGCTAAGAATATACTATGTAGACCAGGCTTGTATATATGTGGTGGTTAAAGAACAACTTTATAGAGTCAGTTCTTGAGCTGACTTCTTGACACAAGCTTTCAATCCCAGCACTTGGGAGGCAAAAGTGATAGAGTTCTTTGAGTTCAAGGCCAGTCTATTTTATCTAGTGAGTTCTAGGATATCCAGGGCTACATAGAGAGACCCTGTCTCAAAAAGAAACAAAGTTAGCTCTTTTCTACCACCATGTGGGTCACAGAGTTTGAACTCAGATTGTAAGGTATGGTACCAAACATCTTTACCTACAGAACCATCTCTCCAAGCCTTTAATCATATTGGGTTGCAGTAAATGATGTTGTCATAATACAATATGTACTAATGGTTTTGCTCAGACTGTGACTTGTACCAACTTTGATCATTAAGAGCATTTCAGTGATGCTTTTATTTGTGGCACTATCACTTGGATGGTGGAGTCAGGAGGATTAGGAATTCAAAGCCATTCTCAGCTATATATCCAGTTTGAAGCCAGCCCATGCTACCTGAGACCAACTCTCAAAAAAAAAAAAAAAAAAAAAAAAAGGGGGACTGGAGAGATGGCTCAGCAGTTACAAGCACTGTCACATAAAATCAAAACACAAAACTAATGGGTCCCACCATGCCTGGCACTTCATTACCCTTCATAGCCAGAGAAAATTCCATTTCATCAGCATACCTAGATGCTAATCTAGTCTTTCTTTTCTTTCTTATAGCGGGAATTTACCCCAGATCCTTGAGTATAACAGGCAAGACTCCTCCCCTTGTTTTACATTTTGTTTTCAGATAGTGTCTCACTTGTGTTTCAATAATGCTGTAAGAAATGTTCTACACAGTGAGTACTCTCCTTCGAACCACAGATAATGTTTATCCTTTGGAAGGGAAAATGAATGGCTTTAGCACACCCTATCACTCACAGTAAGATTGCAAAGTGTGGCTTGCCTCAGACAGTTTATAGGATTTTAATGAGTAACTTGTAACAAATCTGTTAGGAGAGACTTGGAACTGCAGGGAACTGCTCTTACTGATGATCGAGTAAGTCAGGGAAAGAAGGCAGGAGAAAGTCAGGCTATGAGAGTTCTGGATCTGGAAGACACTCATTTATGAAGAGTCAGAAACACAATGGACAGTGTTCAGGCCAAAGGGATCCATAATAGAAGCAACTACGGTAAAAAAAAAAGTTCTGTTTTGGTCTGTTATGTCTAAAGATTTACATCCTTTTCCTTTTCTTTATTGCTTGTTCTTTAAGACTCAAGAATGTCTCTTCTTTTTTTTTTTTTTTTGTTTTGTTTTTCCAGACAGGGTTTTTCTGTGTAGCTTTGGAGCCTGTCCTGGCACTTGATCTTGAGACCAGGCTGGCCTCGAACACAGAGATCTGCCTGCCTCTGCCTCCCGAGTGCTCGGACTAAAGGAGTACACCACCGGCCCCCGGCAAGAGTTTCTCTTCTTAACCCTGGTTTTCCTAGCACTCTGTAGACCAGACTGGCTTCAAACTCAGACAGAGATCTACCTGCTTCTGCTTCCTGAGCGCTGAGATCAAAGTGCTGGGATCACCACCATGGCGAGAAGCAGCAGCAAACTGAATAGGGTACAGAGCTTCTATAAGGTTTCTTGGTGGGGGCAGTGTGGGGGGGTGAGGGACTGTTCCAGGATGGCTTGGGATTGGTGGGGTTTGGTGGTCTGATTCAGGGGCAAGCAGAGAGATTGGTGGGAATGCATGGTCATGGACCTCAGTAATTGGTGGGATTCTGCAGCCTGACTATAGGGCAAGCTCAGGGTTTGGTGAGATTTCAAGCCCTGGTCCTAGGGTCAAGTCAGGGTCAGGGTTGCACCCGTTTAATCCCAGGTCTGGGGAGGCAGAGGCTAGCAGATTTCTGTGAGTTTGGGACCAGTCTGGTCTGCAGAGGGAGTTTCAGGACAGCCAAGGCTATATAGAGAAACCTTATCTCAAAAAATCAAAACCAAGGGGCTGGCGACATGGCTCAGTGGCTAAGAGCACTTATTGCTCTTCCAGAGGACCTAGGTTCAATTCCCAGCACCCACATGGCAGCTCACAACTGTCTGTAACTTCAGGATCTATCACCATCTCACAGACATACATGTAAGGAAAACATCAATGCACACAAAATAAAATAAAAATAAGTTAAATGGTAGGGGGCACCATAACCATGCCTTCGATGGCATGGTCAGGGTGATATAGGGGAGGTTTAAGAGTGAGAGGCACGTATGTGGAACTCCCTTCTTCTTTTTCATCATCGGCTTAGCTATACTTACTCCTGCCCTGCAGGCTGGCTAGGTTGCTCTGTAAGTAAGGCATGTCTCTAATAAATACCATTATATTTTCACCTGACTCCATATTGGTAATTCCCTCATTAATTAAAAAAAAAATCAAAACCGGGCCAGGCATTGGTGGCACATGCCTTTAATCCCAGCACTCGGGAGGCAGAGGCAGGTAGATATCTGTGAGTTTGAGACCAGCCTGGTCTACAAGAGCTAGTTTCAGGACAGGCTCCAAAGCCACAGAGAAACCCTGTCTCAAAAAAAAAAAAAAAAACAAAAAACCAAAAAAACCAAAACCAAACAAACAAACAAACAAAACAAAACCAAAGCATGAAACTAACACATATGTCACCATCCTAGCTATTACTGTGTGCCAAACACTTAAAGATAATCTGACCAAGTTAAGTGATTTGTATAATTATATGTAATTATAATTAGGCCAACATATAGTTGTTAGCATATAAACAAAAATAGCCAGGTGAGGCAGTGCATACCTTGACTTCTAGCACTTGGGGGGCTGAGGCAGGCAGATCTCTGAGTTCAAGGTGAACCTGGTCTACAGAGGAAATCCCAAGAAAGCCAGGGTCACACAGAGAAAGTCTTGTCTTGAAAAATGACAAAACAAAGCAAAATGTATAAACAGAAGTGCTGGACTCTAAACCACTTTTTGCTTTTTCTCTCTCTCTGTTTTTTTCTTCTTGTAATAGTGTTTCAAATCCTAATAGCCCAAGCTGGCTTAGAATTCACTATTGTAGCTCAGGCCTAGCCCATGGCTAGGGACAACATTCCTGCCTTAGCCTACAAAATTCTGGGGCTATAGGCATGAGCCACCATGCCAAATTCAAAGAATTTTGTTGTAGCCCATCTTTGTGGGGCTTCAGTCGGACCCAGCTGTCTTGCCTGGTTTGTACCTGAGAGGGGGAGTATGGATTGAGAAATGGCAGATAAAGACAGAGACACAGAATAAAATCAGGAGGAAAATCCAGTGAATACTGGATGTGCCAAATTTATTCTTCAACATTCTTAAATACTCCAACCCAAAAGGGGAAATGGGAAAAGACTTCTTTATCAAGATACATGGAAGAAACAGAACTTTTTTAATTCTCCAAACATTTGGTAATCACCTGTTAGATAAATCTCTTGTTATCTGGCCTTGAGGGTTAAGAGTAACCACACCTGAGAGCAAGTTCTCTTGTTATTTAGATAAGACATCCACACTTAATACCAAACATCCTACAGTAGCTACGCTTAGACCTTTAGGTCCTATGACTTTAACCTTGGAAGAGTAAGGATAGTTTTGAACTCTCTGACCTCAAGTCAAGATGAAGCAGAGCCAATTTTATGGGCCTCGACAGCATTTATTTTATTTTTTTTACTATTCTTGTTTTTTATTTGTCTTTTTGGTTTTGTTTTTTGTTTTTTTTCAATACAGGGGTTCTCTGTGGTTTTGGAGGCTGTCCTGGAACTAGCTCTTGTAGACCAGGTTGGTGTCGAACTCACAGAGATCCTCCTGCCTCTGCCTCCGGAGTGCTGGGATTAAAGGCGTGCGCTACCAATGCCCAGCTCTGAGGACTTCTTTGACCATATATAAGCCCCGCTACCACAGGATCCATCCGGCAACTGATACAAAATTTACAAATTGGCCAAGTCAGAAACAGGTACATGCCTTTAATCCCAGCTGTCAGAGTCAGAGACAGGAGCCAGCCTGGTCCACATAGAGAGTTCCTTGATGGGCAGGTTTTTGTAGAGAGACCCTGTTTCAAAAATACGAACAACAGCAACAAAAATTATTTAACCCCTGCACTCCAGAGACAGGGGCAGGCTGGTCTCTGTGAGTTCAAGGCCAGCCTGTCCTACAGCGCAAGTTCCAGGACAGCCAAGACTACAACAAAGAAACCCTGTCTTGAAAAGACAAACCAAGAAACCCGAATTGGTCATGTCCCAATTATTCCTTATTTATTTGTAACTTATCCGTAACTATACTGATAATTTCCCCCCCCCTCCCTTCAATTTGCGTACGCGAGGGCTGACCTACAGGCCAGATAAACACGAAGGGTTAAGCATGTACAGCCCGCGAGCCCGCACCTCTTAACCCCATAAGATGGCGATAGCGTAACTCCACCCACTCGAGGGGGGGGCGGCGGCGAGCCTCGCGTCACGTGACCCTCACCAGCTCTCGCCGCGGTGGCCGACGGGAGGTGGAAAGAGAACGAGGGTGTCGGCCATTTTGTGTCTGTTTCCTGTGGGACGCGGCGGTGGCGGTTGGTTCGGAGAAGTCGGCGATTTCCTTCTGTTTTTTCCAGCTTCTTTTCGCCTCCTTCCTACCTGGTCCGTAGAGCGCGGTTATGGGTCGCAAGAAGAAGAAGCAGTTGAAGCCGTGGTGCTGGTATCCTTTGTGGGCCTGACGTGAAGGCCGAGCGTGGGTGTCGCTTGCTTGTCGAGGACTCAGTCTGAGAGGCCTGGGTTGGGCCTGTGACGGGGCAGGGCCGGGCCCGCGTGCTTCGGCGGCTGGGTGAGGATTTGAGATGGTTTTCTTGTAAAATGGGGTACCCACGGCGGAAAGGCTCCGGCATTTGGTGGAGCTAGACTCGGTGGCGTGGGACGAGCTTGTTTGGTGTGAGCGTTGGGCCGGGAGTCCCTCCCTAGTGCAGTCGCCCCTAAAGACTCTGGTCTCCGTTGTTTGGTTGAGAATCCCAGAAAGGGACTTGCGTTGGGGGTAATATGCTAATTGGCTCCTTGGAGAATTGGGTTGTGAGTGTCCCGAGCGCCCCCTTCCCCCCAATGGCCGACGGCTGGTTTCCGCGTCTCTTTCTGGCGCCTTCATCAGGAAGCGTTCGCTTAACTGGGTGGAGTTCCTGGTATCTGTTACCCAATTTTGTTGGGCTGGGGGAAAGAAAAAAAAAAAAAGCTGTTGGATAGGAAGCGATCTTTCTCATGTTTTCTGGAAGCGTTTAAAGTGTTCTACATTACATTTGATTCCCCCCCACACATCTATTATATGTAAACCATTAGTCTCAAGATCTGTTACTAAAATAGGTAAAAAATCGGTCACAAATTTTGTAAAAACGCTCATAGGGAAAGTCTTGAGGTCAGAATTTATGGTGTTGTGGATTAAACATATGTGAGTTTGCATTCTCCGGTGGCATAAATTAATAGGCAGTTGTAAGGCGGGTTTTTTTTTTTTTTTTGATTGTTTGTTGAATGCGCCTCTGCCGGGAAGTTGATCTTAGAATATTAATATTGATGAATTCCCAATTTCGATTCTTCTGTACATCTAATGAGTCCTGGTGAAATTGCTCCTCCCCCCCTTTTTTTTTCCGCGGCGGGCGGGGGAGGGGGTGCGTTTATCTGCCTGGTCCTGTAACTTGCTCTGTAGACTAGGCTGCCTCTGCTTCCCAAGTACTGAGATTAAAGACATGGGCCACCACTACCCTGTTTGAAATTGTTTTATCTTTTGAAAATTTTTTTCGAGACAGTTTCACTGGCTGACCTTTCGCTCACAGCATCTGCTTTTGCATCTCCAGTGGGGTATGCCACGATGAAAGATTTCTATTTTTGAGATAAGGTCTCACTCGGTCTGCATACCAGGCTTGCCTAGTTTGGATATACTGCCTACAGATTGTGCCAACTCTCATGCCTCAATTTAGGTTTATTTAAATTTTGGGAAGAGTTTAGAAGTCTTCAAATATACATTTGTAAATGTTTAGCTACAGAATAATTTAAAAGGTCAAAATTTTGGGGGTTTTTTGAGGCAGGCCTTCATGTTATACCATGGACCACAAAACTGATCAATTCTGCTGCCTCCACTTAACTACTGTTTGGTGTTGAACCCCTGGCCTCTTTTGCATGCCAGATAAGTACCTATATTCAGACCAAGAGGTGCATGACATGTAATTTCTAAATACAAATGCTAAAACTAAGTTATATTAAGTCTCCTCATTTTTTTATTAGCATTAGTGGGTGTGTGTGGGTGTGTGGTGCCTACATTTCTGGTACACCTAGTGCTGTTGGAGGCCAGAACATTTACTCTGGAGTTAATTACGTTGTGAGCTGCCTTGTGGGTGCTGGGAGTAGAACCTGTATACTCTGAAAGAGCAGCAGTAAGTGCTCTTAACCCTGAGCCCTTTCTGCAGCCCTTTGTTTTTTGTTTTTGAGATGGGCTCTGACTATGCATGTATACTAGGCAGGCCAACCTCAAACTCCGCTGGATTTCCAGGCAGGGTTTCTCTTTATAACATCTCTGACTATCTTGCTTTTTTGTAGACAAGCTGGTCTCAGACTCACAGAGATCTCCTTGCCTCCCTCTTGGATGCTGTGATTAAGCCACATTCTGGTTCTTTTTTTTTTAATTTTATTTTGGTTTCAAGAAAGGATCTTTTTTTTGTTTTTTGAGACAGGGTTTCTCTGTGTAGCTTTGGAGCCTATCCTGGCACTCGCTCTTGAGACCAGGCTGACCTGGAACTCAGAGATCCACCTGCCTCTGCCTCTCTAGTGCTGGGATTAAAGGCGTGCACCACCAACGCCAGGCTAAGACAGGATCCTTGTAGCCTTGAATTCAGAGAAATCCACCTGCCTCTCCCAAGGGCAGGGATTAAAGGTATGCAACAATACTGCCTCGCTTTGGATTCTTCATTTTAAAGTTGCTCCTATTCTCAAATTATACGAAAGGCTTTTTTGTTTTGTTTTCCTTTTGTTTTTCGAGACAGGGTTTCTCTGGCTTTTAGAGGCTGTCCTGGGACTAGCTCTTGTAGGCCAGGCTGGTCTCAAACTCACAGAGATCCACCTGCCTCTGCCTCCCAGGTGCTGGAACTAAAGGCCTGACAACAAGGCCAGGCAGCCTTTTGTTTGTTTGTTTTTATTACTTATTTTGATGTGTAGGATCTCACTATGAAGCTGATTGGAAACTCACTTTTTTTTTTTTTTTTTCCTCGAGACAGGGTTTCTCTATGTAGCTTTGGAGCCTATTCTGGCACTCTGGAGACGAGGCTGGCCTCGAACTCACAGAGATCTGCCTGCTTCTGTCTCCCGAGTGCTGGGATTAAAGGTGTGCGCCACCAATGCCCCGGGCGGAAATGCACTGTTGTAGACCAGGCTGGCCAACAAAATTCAGGGAGGTTTGTCTGCCCCTTCCTCCATGAGTGCTGGTATTAATGACAAAACACCATTTCAGGCTTTCTGTTTTTTGTTTTTAAATTCATTAGATGGAGTATCCATAGGTTGCTACATTCTCTTGGGCTCAGATTTCCTGTTACCTTCCAAGTTAGTGGGATCCAGGAAACTGATAGACCTGACATGTTTTTGTTGGCATCAGGCTCATTTTTGTGTAGTGTTTTGTACCTTAATTTTGACTAGGTATTGTAACAGAGATTTTGATGATGAGAAGATCCTTATACAGCACCAAAAAGCAAAACATTTCAAATGTCATATATGCCATAAGAAGTTGTACACGGGACCTGGGTTAGCTATTCATTGCATGCAGGTAAGTAAGCATTTCTCTTCTTTATTTTTTTGTTGCCTTGTGATTTGTAACCACATGAAGAGTTTTCAATTTGTTTTTGGAAACTACTATTACGCCAAGTCTGCTTAAAAACTGTTTTGTCTCTTTTGAGGGGTGGTGGTAGTAGATTCCATGTGCTAATAAGCACAAGCTCCTGCATTGAACTACCTATCTAGAATCTACATCTATTCTGTGACCATAAAGAAGATACTTGGAAACTGGACTTTGGTGGCACATGCCTTTGGTTCCAGAGAAAGCCTGTCTCAGACAACAAAGATAATTAGATTTAATACTTGAGACATAGGTTTCCTGGGTGTTCTAAAATGTACCATTGCATCCTATTTGTAAGAACTGTTTTGTGTAATGAGTGGGTTGGGATATGGATATATATATATATATATATATATATATATATATATATATTATATGTGGATTTGTGCTTGGTGTGGGTACTTGGAGAGACTCTGGGATGGTCCCTGGAGCTGGATTCTCATGCAGCTGTGAGTTCCTATTTAGATGTCAGAAATTGAAATTGGATCCTGGAGGGCCAGCAGGCACTACTAAATTTCTTAGATCTCCGGCTTCCTTGCTGGAATTTGTATTTTTGCATCCTGTTGTCTTAAGTTTATACTTAAAAAAAGAGTTGTAACTTTAGTGCTAGATCTTTTGCCTAGCATGCTTGAGAAGCCCTGCTGCAAAAGACCTTATTTTTTCCTCTGCATTATTATAGTAACCATTTAGATTTGTTATCTTGTTATATTTGTTTATTTAGAAAGATTATTATTTTTTTTTTTTTTTTGGTTTTTTGAGACAGGGTTTCTCTGTGTAGCTTTGGAGCCTATCCTGGCACTCGCTCTGGAGACCAGGCTGGCCTGAGACTCAGAGATCCGCCTGCCTCTGCCTCCCTAGTGCTGGGATTAAAGGCTCGCGCCACCAATGCCTGGTTAAGATTAATTTTTAATATTGTATGTCTGAGGGTATCATTCCCTAAACATCAAGTTACACATAGCTGTGAGCTATCAGATATAGGTGCTTGCAAATTAAAATCTGGTTCTGTATAAGAACAGTCTATGCCCTTAACCACTGAACCATTTCAAGCTTCATTTATTGTGTGTTTTCACTTGGAGTTGGTGGGATGAATTTTTTTTTTTTAATTCATTTATTTTGTATGGGGGACAGGGATTCTCTGTGTAACAGCTCTGGTTGTACTAGATCAGGCTGGCCTCTAACAGATTTGTTTGCCTCCTGAGTGCTGGGATGAAAGGCTGCACCAGCAACTCCTGCTTTAGGAGTTTAAACCTTGTGGGTCCCAGGGATTGATTGTTTTTAACATATTTGAGAATGTGCTGGGTGGTGGTGGCACACACCTTTCTTTACTTTATTTAATCCCAACACTTGGGAGGCAGAGGCAGGCAAATCTCTGAATTCAAGGCCAGCGTGGTCTACAGAACAAGTTTTAGGACAGATTCCAAAGCTAATCAGAGAAACCCTGTCTTGAAAAAAATTTGTTTGAGGATGCTTTGGTAGTATATTGTTGAATTTATAGTGCTTGAGAATTTTTTTTTTTTACATAATTTATTTTTAGTTTATATGCTTTGGTGTTCTGCCGCATGTGTCATTGTGAGAGTTTTAGATTCCATGGAACTGGAATTACAGATGGTTGTGAGCCATCATCTGGGTGCTAGGAATTAAACCTGGGTCCTCTGAAAGAGCAGTCAGTGCTCTTAACTGCTGAGTCGTATCTCTCTCCTGTTCCTGTGCTTTAGAATCTTAAGAAAATAGGCTCTTGAATTTGAGACCTGGACTGCAGTGTGCAGTGAAACTTTGTTTCACAGTGCCGAAACAAAGGCCATCATTTCGAAGCTACAATCTTTCAAACCTATAGCTGTATACTGTAACAGCTCCTAGTTCCACATAGATGTTTAATGAAGATTATGTTAAAGAATAGTTTTCCACATGTGTTACAGCCATATTTTCTGTGCTCTGTAACTACATGTGACATGGGTGACTATTGATAGGGGTAGAAAGAACATTTCCATTAATCACAGAAAATTCCTATGGAAGAGCACTGTGTTAGACACCTATTTTAAATACTTGGGTATACAGCACCCATAGAATTTAGCTTTATAATGTGAATAAAAACAAGAGTATTTTATTTCATGATGATAGAAAAAATGAAAACATAAGAATGAAGCTGTCCGATGAAATCTGAGAAGTGAATAACTTATTATGTATAACAGTGTTCTGCTTCCATGTATGCTGCAGGCCAGAAGAAGGCACCAGACCTCATTACAGATGGTTGTTGCCCACCATGTGGTTGCTGGGAATTGAACTCAGGACCTTGGAAAGAACAGCTATTGCTCTTAACCTTTGAGCCATCTCTCCAGCCACATGTAGCACTATGCTGACAGTCTAAAACTCTGAGCCTTTCACATCCTAGGTTTCCTTTTCACATGTTCTACCATGTTTTATACCTTTTATACCCTGTTTTATACCTTTTAAGAAAGGGTTGAAAATAGAATGTGGTGTACAATGAGACCAGTTAAGACTTTGAAAGAGGCAATGGTGGCAGAAGACTTTGCTGGTAAATTTGTTGGGCAGTCTGAGAAAAAGTGACAGATAAAGGATGGTTTTTAAGGTATTCTCAGCAAGAAAAATGTGGGTAAAGGTGCTTGTATTCAAGTCTGATAACTGGACTGAGACCTGAATTTGATCCCTGGGACTCACATGGTTGGAGAGAATCAGTTCACACAAGTTCTAGAGGATCAGTTCACACAAGTTCTACCCTGATCTCATGTGTGACATAGAATTGGATAACTTCCCAGATAGATAAGTAATAGACAACTATTTTTTAAGTCCTAGAAATTAAATACATAAAATATATATATATATATATATATTATATGAGGTACATTCAGGGTTAGAACAAACAACTGGTGTTTTAAAGCCATATGTGGTAAAAGGACTTGAATGCAGAAAGTCTTAAAGTGGAATCCATTAGTTATTTTATTTTACTAAGTGATCTGTTGAATAATTTTTAGTTCAAAAAAGATTCTCATGAATTTAATAGCTTTGTGTTTTTGTTTTTAGGTGCATAAAGAAACCATAGATGCTGTACCAAATGCCATACCTGGGAGAACAGACATAGAGTTGGAAATATATGGCATGGAAGGTATTCCAGAAAAAGATATGGATGAAAGACGGCGACTTCTTGAACAGAAAACACAAGGTAGTTTGCAATGTGCTAAAGTGTTTATTTTAATGGTTTTCAAGACAGGGTTTCTCTGTCCTGGCTGTCCTGGAACTCTGTAGATCAGGCTGGCCTTGAAATCACTTAAGATCCGCCTGCCTCTGCCTCCCAAGTGCTGGGATTAAAGGCGTGCGCAACTACCGCCCCCTGAATTTTTTTTTAAGATTTATTTGTTAATGTATACAGTGTTATGTCGTCTTATATGCCAGCAGGTCAGAAGAGAGCACCAGATCTACAACCATCATAGATTGTTGTGAGCCATCATGTGGTTGCTGGGAATAGAACCTAGAACCTCTGGAAGAGCTGCCAGTGCTCTTAACCTCTGAGCCATCTCTCCAGCCCCTAACATCATTTTTTTTAATTTTTTCTTTATGTGCATTGGTGTTTGTGTGAAGGTGTCAGATTTTGGTGTTAGAGACAGTTGTAAGCTACCATGTGGGTGCTGGGAATTGAACCCCGGGTCCTTTGGAGGAACAGTTAGTGCTCTTCTCTGAGCCATATCTCCAGCCCCTTAAATTTATTTTTTTTTTAAGATTCATTTATTGTGTATATAGTATTTTGTCTGCATGTGTGCATGCAGGCCGGAAGAGGGCACCAGATCTCATCATAGATGGTTGTGAGCCACCACATGGTTGCTGGGAATTGAACTCAGGACCTCTGGAAGAGGAGCAGCCAGAGCTCTTAACCTCTGAGCCATCTCTCCAGCCCCTTAAATTTATTTCTTATTGTGTGTGTTGGGTTCTACATACCATGGCACATGTGTGGAAGATAAGGGGGCAACTGTGCAGTTTGTTATGAGGATTGAACACTGCTTGCTTGCTTGTACCTTTATACCTGCTAAGTCATCTCAGTGTTTTGAGTAGATGTGGTAACAGCTGTGCTGCACTACTACTGCATTCAGCTTACCGTTCTAGTCTTTAATAATACATGTTTGGGTTTTTGCCTGCACATATTGACTGAGCTGCCTTGTGTGCTGGGAACTGAACCGGAGCCATCTCTTCAGCTCCTCCAATTCTAATCTGTTAGTTGTGTTTTCCTTTTATGTGTTCTGTATTTATTAGTGTCATTTGTCTTGTGATTGCAAGCTATGCATTGTGCAGATGGTCAAAAATGATAGCAATCTGATTTTGAGATTTGTAAGTTGTCCTCTGAGTATGAAAGAATGTTTTGACTCCATGTATGTCTGTATCATTTGGGTGCCCAATCCCTTAGAGGGCTGGAAGAAGGTATTGGATTCCCTGAAACTGGAGTTGATTCACAGAGATCACCTTGCTTCAGCCTCTAGAATCTGGATTAAAGTCATATGCAATATTACTTTAAAAAATTTTTATGGGTCTGTCTCCCCCACCCCCCTGGTTTCTCTGTGGCTTTAGAGGCTATCATGGAACTAGCTCTTGGCGAACAGGCTGGTCTTGAACTCACAGAGATTCACCTACCTCTGCCTCCCGAGTGCTGGGATTAAAGGCATGCACCACCCACGGCCCAGACAAAATTTTTGAGTTTTTTTTTTTGTTTTTGTTTTTGTTTTTATTTTTTTTTTCCTTTTTAGTGTGTGAAAATAATTAAAACATTTCTTGGCAGAGAGTCAAAAAAAGAAGCAACAAGATGATTCTGATGAATATGATGATGATGAATCTGCAGCCTCAACTTCCTTTCAGCCACAGCCTGTTCAACCTCAGCAAGGTTATATCCCACCAATGGCCCAGCCAGGATTGCCCCCAGTTCCAGGGGCACCAGGAATGCCTCCAGGTAACAAACAGATCCTTAAAAATTCATCCCGAGGAGTTCATTGTTACGATGCAAGAATTTGAATTTCCAATTCTAATTTTGTTGCTGAAACACATTGTAGGCATACCTCCATTGATGCCAGGTGTTCCTCCGCTGATGCCAGGCATGCCTCCAGTTATGCCGGGCATGCCACCTGGGTAAGCAAACTTCCAGTTGGTTTGTGGGCTTGGGCCAACTTGGGTGCTTTGAATTAAATGTTACTTTTCATTTTTTTCTTCCTAATAATATGGGCTCTATAAATATTTTTTAATAAGGGGTCAGTAAATATGAGACAAATATATTTGCCTCTGCGGAGAGTAGATTTTTGGGTTTTAGGATGAACATAGGAAACCATCCTTGAGTTGCATTTGCTGTAATTAAAGTGTTGGTTATATAGATTTAAGTGTCTTAGTCTTGGAACTATCAAGGATGCTTTGTAGTTGGTGAAAAGGAAACTGTAAATGATTTATCAAAGCATCAGAAACTAAAATGAAGTTGAGGTTTGTGTTGCCCATCACTTTTACTTAGAGTTGGATGTGAAAGGTATACAATACACTTTCCCTCTGTGTTCTGAAAATCACAGTTAGATTTTGATTTTGTCATACATTTTCACAGATTGCATCATCAGAGAAAATACACCCAGTCATTTTGCGGTGAAAACATGTAAGCATCTCATTCATAATGTAATTCAGGAGGTATAATATAATCATAATGTCATTTGTGTGTGTGTTTAATGATAACTATTCAGTTGACTTAAGAAATTTTCTAATTTCACTAAAACTGTTAAGTTTGTCAGCTAACTGACATATCTCTTTAAAGTAGAAAATTAACACATTTTGGGGCAAATATACACATTAAAATAATTTTTCCCGGGCATATTAGCACATGCTTTTAATCTCAGAATTTGGGAGGCAGAGGCAGGAATATCCCTTTGATTATGAGGCCAGCCTGTGGTGTCTAGTGGCTAGCTTAGGCTACATAGATTCTGTCTCAAATGAGGGAAAGTTGTTTTCTAAAAGTACAGGTGCTTTCTCAAGCTATTGTTAGATAGTATACGATACTATAATCTGCCATGATGCTTTATTATAAAAGATAATCAGATTTTCATCTAATTAGGATTAACATGTATAAGTTAAATTTCTGTTAAAAAGTCTTAAGTTGTGGATGTAGGAGAATAATGTTGGCTTAGTGGTAGAGTGCATGTGTGATATGCACCAGGCACTGGGTTTTTTTCCCCAACACCAAAAAGCCAAAACCACAAATCAAGTTTGTATGTTTGTAATATAATGTTTTGAAGTAAATTGGACACTGGCTGATCTTGGAAGGTGAGCTTTGTCTTGTTTTTCAAAGGGGAAAGCTATAAATATGGGTTATGTTTTTAAGTCATAGTATAATATTAGGAAGTAAATTTTTATATAATCTGAGTTTATATTTGTCAATGTTGGTGATTGGTTTTCCTTGTCCCTCCCGGACAGAAATTGTTACTCCACAGTGGACAATTCAAATAGAAATGTCTCTGCGTTTTTTTGTGCCTTTTGTTCAAGTGGAACAAAAGCTCTCCATTTATACATTTATTTGATAGGGTTTCCTGTATATATATATTCTCAAGAATACTCTGAGACCTTATTTAGCTGATTCCCCCCCCCCCTTCAGTTTACAGGTAAACTGATGAGTTTGGTTTTTCCAATGTTTATTATGATAGGATTATTGTAGTGTATGATCCTTGTGGCTTGATTTTAGTACTTGAGATACTCAAGTTTTTTATTGAGTGTTTTATAATTGCCGAGATACTTTTTGTGATTTACATTGTTAATGTTTTTTGTGTTTATTCTTAAATTTTGCTTTTTAATAGAATGATGCCGATGGGTGGAATGATGCCACCTGGACCTGGAATACCACCTCTTATGCCTGGGATGCCACCAGGTATAAAATATTAAACATTCATTCTTCCTTTGTAATGTGTCTGGTAGCATTTATTCCTATAAGTTTCTAATTCTCATACATGTTGAAAGAGGTTTTCTAAGTGGAGTGGGTGTGATTACATATATCCTTAACCCCATCTACTTTAATCCTAGTAGACATAGGCAGATTTCGGGAATTCCAGACTAGCCTGTACATTGTTACTTCAGGCTGGCTAGATCACAGGGCAATGGTAGCTCAAGCTTTTAATTTCCCAGTAAGTTTATAGTTGGGATCTAAAGTTGTAAAAAGAAGAGACAGTTTGAGAGGTATGATTGTTGCGAGGAAGAAATGACCATAAACATAGAGTTTGTTTGAACTGGGTGTTTCATTGACTTGGGTTCCTGGGAGACCATACATCCGTCCGTCTGTCTGTTGCTGCAGGTATGCCTCCTCCTGTTCCACGTCCTGGAATTCCTCCAATGACTCAAGCACAGGCTGTTTCAGCACCAGGTATTCTTAATAGACCACCTGCACCAACAGCAGCAGTACCTGCTCCACAGCCTCCAGTTACTAAGCCTCTTTTCCCCAGTGCCGGACAGGTAAGGTGAAAATCTTGAAAAGGAGTACATTTATGTTTAATGATAAAGTGGACTTGTTTACTTATATCTTTGAATTGTTAGATTTATCAAATAAAAATTCAAGTAATACACCAAAATGTAGTCTATCATCTGCTATGTTTATACCTTGATTTCTTCTATTCACAACAGAAAAGGAACCATGTTATTTTTTCATAATTGTGTATTTATTCTTAGCAATAGCAATAGAAATGAAAGTTGAGTTTCCAAGGAGTTTCAGTAAATGATGTTTCTAGGTCCTCCTTTGCCTTGTTGAATTAGGTCAGAGCCAGTGATGAAATCTCTTAAACTCAGGCCTGGCAGTGGCAGTGGGCACCTTTATAATTCCAGAACTGCAGAGGCAGGTGAATGAATCTCTGAGGTCAAGGCCAGCCTGGTCTACAGATCAAGTTCCAAGACATTCAGGGCTATACAGGAAAATCCTATTTTGAAAAAATGAAAAATAAATAAAAGTGATTGGTTGTTCTTGCTGATTTAGAAAGAACCATAGTAAATTGCAGTGCTACTCTTGAATTGGATGGGCATCGTTTAATGGCTTTTAATCTAGTCATAATTCTTAGCCTTTCTTCCATCAAAACTTTTCCAGAAGGTGAGTAGGCTAGATTATGTCAAACTTTTGTGCATTTCATTTAGAATTGAGTAGATATACTTAAAGGGATTAAGGGTTTTTTTCTTTTTTAAGATTATTGCTCAGATGTTTCCTCAATTTCTTATTCTTTTCTGGGTGCCAATTTTTAAGTGCCTTTAAAGCATATTAGTTTACATTTTTGTAGTAGATAGACATTTTAAATATGGCGATGTTAAACTTTTATCAGACCCTGTCGTCTTACTGTGTAGAGCATCTGCTTGGAGAACTGAGTGTCATTATTTTCAGTTTATTAGTCTTGAAATACTGCAATGCAAAACAGAAAGTTTAGAAAAGAAGCTTATGTCTAACTAGTTGTATTGGTATAGAGATAATTTTTTGAGGCATGTACTTATACTGTTTATTGAAAATGCATTTACTCTGCCTCTTTAGGTAACATTTGATTGCATTTCGATCTGTATTTACAAAAGAATGCAATCTATACTAAAAAGTGCCACATAGCATATTTTTACCCATTTGTTCGGAGGCGGTTCATTGTTTCCTTTCTTTTATGCTACAGATGGGGACACCTGTAACAAGCTCAAGTACAGCTTCATCCAATTCAGAAAGTCTGTCTGCATCTTCTAAAGCTCTGTTTCCTAGCACAGCACAAGTACGCAGGAAGTTGCAGTTTAAAATTTTTAAAAATGGCTTTACAACTTAACCCTTTGGACCCTTTATAAAAGCTAAATCTTACAAATATATTTAGTTTTTTTTTTTTTTTTAGAAGTAAAACATACGAAAATTCAAATGATGTTTAAAATTGAATTCATACTAATGTCTTCAACAGAATACTCTAAACTTATGTGGTTCTAAAGGGTTAAAAGCATGTGAGCAGTAAATGAACTATAGTGGCCAATGGTTAGCCTGGCGCATGGTTAAGCTGTTTTTAATTTATGCTATTTAATGCATCACATCTTTAAGGAAATTAGCACTCTGCATTTAGTTCTAAAGTTGACCTAGACATTTTAAACATTTGTATTATGAAAGTAATGTGTGCTCATGTTAACTTTAAAGCCTTTGCTATTAACCCCCTTTGTCTATATTGTAATCTAGCCATTACTAATTTGGAGGGCAGTGTGTTGCTATCTCTAGAATACTTGTGTTGGTGGTAATATGTTATTATATAAACCCTTATATTCTGTAGTTTATTTTTTGAGCTGCTTTTAAGATAAAGAATTTAGGAGAATAAAAGCAGTTGCATTAAATACTATTTCATGATTCTATAGCAAAATAGAATATATAGCATTGTAGATTAAGTTTATGGAGAGGAGCTATAAAACAGATTTGAAAAGTGTAGTAATTACAATCCAATATCTTGATATTCTTACAGATTGAATTTTGTGGAACATATCATCCGTTAACTTGGTTTAGTTTCATTTTAAGTTTGCTTTGTTTGATGTTGCTGTCTTTATTTAAGTACATTTTCTGTTATACACAACTTTGGGTATTGAAATTTATTGGTAAAGGATCATTATTTTACAGGCTCAGGCAGCTGTCCAAGGACCTGTTGGTACAGATTTCAAGCCCTTAAATAGTACTCCTGCAACAACTACAGAACCCCCAAAGCCTACATTCCCTGCTTATACACAGTCTACAGCTTCAACCACTAGTACAACAAATAGTACTGCAGCAAAACCAGCAGCTTCAATTACAAGTAAGCCTGCTACACTTACAACCACCAGTGCAACCAGTAAGTTGATCCATCCAGATGAGGATATATCACTGGTAAGTTGTTTATAGGTTTTACTAGTATTGTTTGATCAAATATCATTATAGCAACGTATCCATTGGAGAGGTTTTCAGTTGTACTTAGATCAATTTATCTGATTTTATTTGTCTCATGAAACCGTAAATGGATGCTCCCACCCTTCTATTTCTAAGAAAAAAAGACAGTACGCTCAGTTCTTACACTAAAAATGTTTAGACATACCTTTGCTTGTACTGATTGGCAAAAAGAGTTGCCTGTCAGAGACTATGGAATTTTTGAAGCCTGTTTCATTTGACAGTTAATATTTAGATTTGTAATTTTATTAACATAGGTAAGATTTTTAAGGACTGGAAATTTTAAGTGGTAGCACTGATTTATGAGAGTAAAAGGAGTTATTGGGGATTAATTGTGCTTTTAAAATTACCAGGATTTTTGGATATTTGTATTTTTGCTTGAAGAGCCTACTTTCTTTCTTACATTAGACGTTATACATTATTTTTATTCTCAGGAAGAAAGAAGGGCACAGTTACCTAAATATCAGCGTAATCTTCCTCGGCCAGGACAGACTCCGATTGGTAATCCACCAGTTGGACCTATTGGGGGTATGATGCCACCACAGCCAGGCATCCCACAGCAGCAAGGAATGAGACCTCCAATGCCACCTCATGGTACTGTTTTTGTTTTTTAGTTTTCGGGGTGTAGTTTGAATTTTGATTATATATGAAAATGTTAGTGCAAAATATTGGTTTAAAGATACAGTACACAGACCAACTATGTATATTTTATTGTGTGTTTTAGGTCAGTACGGTGGTCACCATCAAGGCATGCCAGGTTACATTCCTGGTGCTATGCCACCCTATGGACAGGGACCACCAATGGTGCCCCCTTACCAAGGTGGGCCTCCTCGACCTCCAATGGGAATGAGACCTCCTGTTATGTCGCAAGGTGGCCGTTACTGATCTTAACTTCATCGAGTCTAATAGGTTTGGAGATTAAACCTTTTCTCAACTTGTGCTGTTTATATAGACAAGCTTCCGTCTATAAGGCTTCATTGTGACTTTAACAAACATTATCTTCCCACATACCAGGAACTATTGGACATTTATTTGACATGGGAGAAATTATTTGGAATAATAAAACAGGAACTTTTCCTGAAGTTGCAATTTATACTGTATGGCTTCTTTTTCATGTTTCATCTAGGTTTTTAGAAGTGAAGTAATAGTAAATTTGGTTCGTTAAATTGTGAAGGCGCTGGAATTACATGAACATACCATCTTAAATAAAGGCAAGTTCTGTAAGCTTACATTGCTATTTGTAAAGTTATGCCTTCACAGCATTTCCAGTGCTGTTGGACTTCATGTCCCCAACCTAGCTTGGTGAGGGCTGTAACTGTTTCCAAGTACTTGTACATTGGAAGTCTGAATGTGTAACAATATTTAATGTATTTAGAGAGTTCCTCGTGTTGCAGGGTTTAAGAAATCTGGCCCACTGAGGTCATGTGACTTTTCTGTACTGTTAAATTTCATTGTAATAAAACAAGAGAAAAATTTATGCCTTTTTATTCATAACTCAGCTGTGGACTAGTGACTGAAAGGTTTGTACAGATGCATGCCACAGTAGACGTCCACATAATAAAATTCAGTTACCAATTGGATTCTTTAAGTTGTAGATTTTTTTCTTAGCTGTATGTTTTAACATATTTAGAATTATTCTTGTTAATGATAGAAACACATGAATCAATACATAATGGGTATGAAGTCTTTATGTGTCATGATTTCACATCATTTGGTATCAGATGTAACAGATTTAAAATGTAAACTTGAACTAAGGTTGTTTAGAGCCTAGTGCCAGACCCATTCATTTTCTTTAATTAATTTTAAGACTTCAGTTTTGTACTTTAATGGACCTCAGAAGCTTTCCAGGTGCAAACTTCTAGAAGCTTAGGTGCATGCTTCTTCCATTAATGGTGTGATGTAAGTTAATTTTAAATATGCCTCTATTGCAGTTTGGTGGTTAACAGGTGATTAGCATAATTTTTATTATGCTCCTTAGAGGTTGTTACTTGGAATTGGATAGGTGCCCTCTGTTGCTAAAGCCAGATAGTTAATCATGATCCCTGAAATTTTGGAATGTTAATGTGTTCCTAAAGATAATTATACTTTAGGGGTGACTGCTGTTGGCGAATTTTGTGTTGTAAGTCTCATGATAGTAGTTCTTACTAATTTTGTTGAAGTTTTTCCAATCCTTTGGGGGCCAGGGACATTAAGAGGGTTTTTGGACTGTTTTAAGAATCACATGATCCATACAGAGTACCCACCCATATTATAAATATAAGTTGATTGATTTATTCTGAATATGAACTCTTGAATATGATTAGCATAATTTTTATTATGCTCCTTAGAGGTTGTTACTTGGAATTGGATAGGTGCCCTCTGTTGCTAAAGCCAGATAGTTAATCATGATCCCTGAAATTTTGGAATGTTAATGTGTTCCTAAAGATAATTATACTTTAGGGGTGACTGCTGTTGGCGAATTTTGTGTTGTAAGTCTCATGATAGTAGTTCTTACTAATTTTGTTGAAGTTTTTCCAATCCTTTGGGGGCCAGGGACATTAAGAGGGTTTTTGGACTGTTTTAAGAATCACATGATCCATACAGAGTACCCACCCATATTATAAATATAAGTTGATTGATTTATTCTGAATATGAACTTCTGAGAATGCTAACAGTAATTTCTGTGAATGTATTAGATGTATGTGACAACTCCAAAAATAGTAGGAATACATTGAAAATACTTAATACACAGGAAAGTTGACAGGTAAAGGTCCTTCTATGGAATGAAATGTGACAAATAATTGAAAGTCACATTCCATTTTCAGTCTTTTTTCCCAGTCTTTATTTCTGCACCGATTTATTTTATGCCTCCTCTGCTGAGGTACAGAAAGTTTCAGTTTGTAACAAAACATCCATATATTGCCAGACATGTATTATTCTGCCTCCAGCTAAGTTACATATCCCCTTACCTGAATACCTCTCTGTCTAGTTTTAGAATCGGTATATTTCTTAGGACTGGCAGCGCATATTTTTATACTGTCAAAGAAAACCATGTATTGAAAATATTGTGGTTTAAGCCAGGTAGTGGTAGCACATATCTTTAATCCCAGCAGAGGCAGGTGGATCTCTCTGAGTGCAAGGTGAGCCTGGTCTATAAAGCTACAAAGAGAAACCTTGTCTTGAAAAAGAAAAAAAGAAAGAAAGGAAGAAAGAAAGAAAGAAAGGAGAAGGAAATAAAATATTTCGGTTTAAAAAGGCATTGCAAGGTTAAGTTTAAAGGACAAATGCTTCTAAGTCTCATAATTTCATGTATTGATAGAACTTCAATGTTTATACACAAACATTTACACTTTCATTTTGTTCTCATAATAACATTGTATAGCAGAGTTAGTTCTGAAGTCTACAACTTAAATAGTTAAAGGGATTCTAATTTAAAAAACTTGTGTGTGGTGATAATAACATTTAATTCTTATATGTCCTGTGTTTTGTAACTCAGGGGTGCTATCCATTTAGTATAATAAAAGTATAATTTTTGCATGCATCAAGGATAATAAGCTTCTAGAAAATTACCTAAATGCTTCTGGGGTCCATAGTGTTGTTAAATCACAAGTCTAACAAATTTGAAACAATTTATACGTCTTTAAATTATGCTGCTAATGAATTTCAGCTCTGCTCACAAAAGGCTGCTTTTAGTTTTTTGGTATGTTCCTATGAACATAGCTTAGAATATTTAAGGAAGCTGTACAGTCATTGCACTTGTCAGCTTTGGGTCTACCTTCCATCTACTGTGGGTCAATTAAAAAATCAACTGTCTGGCACTAGTTTCTATTCCTATGTTTTGCCACTGATAGAGAAAAGACCAATAGATAAGGGCCCAATTTTCAGTGACTGCTGGAGTTACCACTTAATTTGAATCCCTACTATTGAAGTAATCAAATACCATTTGCTAGGGGCGGAAAATCTATTTTACTGATCAGGTTACATAATGAACTTAAACTCAGTTTAATGAATTACTTATGGAAGTCTCCAAGAAGTAAGTTTGGGCTCAGAATGTAATTGTAGATAAAAAGAGCTGCTGCTCCTTTTCTGTTGCTTGCTTGATCATTGGGACTTTAAAAAATTGATGCATGTCTTTTTAATTAATTGGGTGATGTTTTTCTAAAATTAAAATTTTCTTCTTCCTATAGCCCTGCCATAGGACAGGCTGAGGCTGAGTCTCAGTGTTGCCCTGTTCAGTCTGAGGCAAGTGGGATTTATTTTATTACTTACAGGGGCTTTCACAGCTTTATAGCTGTTGGATATTTATGTCCCCAAACTTGCAGCAAGTTTGGTGAAGGCCCCTAAATTTAATTAAACTTAGGATTTTTATATTCCTTTGGCAGAGAAGGCTCTATATTAATATTCACGTTTGACTGTGGTGTAAGAAACATAAATAAGTACTGTTTTATTATATAATATCTAAAGTTTCATAAACCTTAATAAATTGATTTTATATTTGTGATTTGGAGGCATGAAATGTTTCATTCAAATTTTTACTTTGACCTCTAGGAAATTAATACTGGTTGTTTTCTGTTCAAACTTAAATTTAACCTAAAGGATAAGCTTACTTATTTGAAATGTGATAGGATAATGATGTTTGTTCTCAATCCCAAGCTTATATTGAACATGAGGGTGGTAAGGTTATCTGGAAATGCTTATGATCTTTCTCAAATCTCACCACACTAGAGCAAATGTTAATGTAGAGCCCTGTAATGAGTGGGAAGGTGATTTGTCTGTGCTTGTGTGGTATGTATGGGTGTAGACTACGGGTGTGGTTATTATAAAAGGGTTTGGGCATTACATGTCTCAACGGATAGATAACTAATTTTCAGGCAGCCAAATTGAAATTGAGTCATGTGATAAGTATTAAACTGGTTTGGAAGTTTAGTTTCGGCTTTTACTGAGCAGTGCTTTATATAATATTCACACACCAGTAGTATATTTCCACATTTGTTTTCAATGTTTTAGAATTTGATTATGGTTTTAAAAACTTGTATGTTGGGGGTGGGGGATTGGCAGAATGCAACTTCTAACTTGTTTATTCATTCGCTAGACTAGAAACATTTTATAATCTTTTGTGGTTATCTTGTGGTTTTTGTTTGATTTTATTTTTCCAAGACAGGGTTTCTCTGTAGCCCTGGCTGTGTAGAATCTTACTAGGCTAGCCTCAAGTCACAGATCTTTGCCTCCTCACCAGCACACCTGGCTAGATTTTAATTCTTTTAAGAAACACTGTATACATGACAGTGTTCACTGAAATGTTTTATAATTACAGGGTTAGATGTATTAGAAAGGTTTTACTATAGTAGTTCAGTCATAGGGGGCTTATTTTATGTTCAGGGCTCTGGATTTCATTCCTACCAACTAATTAGAGATACATTTTATCTTGTTACCTCTCTTATGACCCAGTTCTACATTACTATTACTTGAATAATGGGGCTGGTGGAGAGATTTAATAGATAACTAATCACAGATGTTTTTGACCTTGGCACAGTGGTTCACTCCTTTGTTCCTAACAGTTGGAAATTTGAGGTAGGAAGATTGCTGTGTGAGATCAGCCTAGGCTACAGAGTATAGACCCTGTCAGGGTGGAGGGGTTGTTGATATGTCTTCTGGTTTAGTTCAGTGACCCTGAGAACAAGTCAAGAATTGTGTAGGCTTTGGGTCTTATGAAGCCCTCTCCTCTGGTAAAACTAACTTTAACTTCACTTTAGATATAATTTGAGTAAGCTACTGAATGGCATTTATATGACATTTGTATTGGTCAGAATTTACTAAGTACCCTAAATTTTAAAAAGTTAGATCTTGTTTTTATAGTAATCTAGCTTTCTCTTTGTAAAATAAGTACCTTAGGAATATAGTATGTATGATCTCATCTGGTATATGTCTTAAGTAACATAATAATGAATTTTCAAAACTAGTATCTTAAGCTCTTAAACATTGTCAGTAGACTACTATTATAAATTAAATTGATAGGAAATAAAGGTTGAATTTAAACTGCCAAGAATCTCAAGTGCAGCTGTTCTAAGTGTTATCCTTATGGTTAAATTCAGGGGTTATGTTTGTTTCAAGGCCTGGTGTGGTAACACATCTGTATTCAGCATTCTGTAGGATGAGATGAGATCAGGATATTCCTGCAAGTTGAAGGCAAGCCAGGGTTAGAGAGGGAAAGAAAGAAGCTGGTGGGTCTGAGTTCAGTTTCAGCCTGGTCTGTATATTGCAGCCCATGCAGTTCTACCCAATGAGATGCTAATCTAAATTTTATTTTGAATCTGTAAGGCTAAAAAAAATTGCTTTTAATGTGTGGTATTTTTTTCTCTTAAATGCTGTGCATTTCCTATTCAAAATACCAGTTCTGGACAACAACTTAAATTAGTTTGTATGATTTGAATGAATTTTATGTAAATTCTACTTCATTTCCAGTGGAAAATGTTTTAGTAAGAAAAATGTAGACTACTGAAGTAGAGATACACAGCCTAAAATTTAGTATTCATTAAATCCAATTTCAACTATTTCTGTTTTGGTTAAACATATTGAATACTGTGTAACTAAAACTGGCTCA